ATCCAAGCACCTTTGGTTTAGTACGGCGGACAGATCATTGCTGCTCATAAGCTAGGAGAGAGGTGAGACTACGGATCATTCCAATGTCGTTTGCGAAGTAACCACAGCTTGCTGTGGCGACAGAGAAGGCACACACGATCACGGGGGGGGGGTCACCTCTATCAGTTTTGCTTTGTAGATAAGTAGGAATTTGCCAGGCGGACCAGGTAGGTGGGAGGAAGGCATTAGATATCAGGGTACGTTCTGGTAATGGCTGGTACAGCGCAGCACATAAGGGAAATGGAGAGGGAGGGATCAGATGATGAAGACCCAGGAAAGGAAAGCTAACCAGCAGTCACGGAGGACACATTACAGAGACCAGGCGAGAGGCAAGGAGGCAGTCAGGCTAGTGCATTATGCTAAGCAACAAACGATGGGCTAAGAAACAGTAGCAGCGAGATGGGACAGCGGGGACAGATGGGACAGCTAAGTACTTATCCTTGTTTCAGACACAAAGCTGTGCACATTTCATCTTCATAACCAGCCTAAGAGGTATGTTCCTATTTTTACACAAGAAACTCAGGTTGCTAAGAATGTCACTTGCTCAAAATAACACAGCTTACAAGTAGGATTAGAGATTCAAACTTCAAAGATCCTGCTCCTAAGTAGCATAATGTGCCAATATCTCAAATGCAGGCCCAAGTATAAGTCAACAAATCGTTTTCACAACTAATTCTGACCTGTTCAACTTACCAGAATTAATTCCTAAATAAACTTCTTCTCATAAAGCAGCATTGCAAGTGTAAAATACTCTAGCAGGTTTAGGGTTACTTAAGACTTTAATATTATTCCAAGCTGTGTATAGTTGTAGTTGCTTATCCAAATTCTTATCTTATGGTCACAACTTACACATTCTCCAATTAAGAATTTTGCATGGGCCACAAAGTTTAAATGTAATATTATTAGCCTGTAAAATCTCCTCTCTGCCCACTTATTCTTATAATGCTGGGCATATTAAAAAAAAGAAAAAAAAAGTACTGATCTAAAAATAAAACCTGATGTGAAAATATTCTTAAAATGACATACTTTCCCTTAGGCGAGAGGGTTAATTGGGAAATAAAATATCCAGTATCTTAAATTTAATTTACCTAAGAAACATGCTATATGTATATTATAAAACATACATAGTTAGGAAAACTTGGTAAAATGCAGAATAACACCTCTAATAATGAGGCACTAAAGCTGTGTGAACACAAATATTCCTCCAAAGTTTTCCTTTAAAAAACATTTAGTGAATTGATTTCTTGTTACTTAACAAAATTTTATCTAAAGTTAGAAATGACCAATTCCAGAAGAAATGTATACCTTCACAAAACTTAATCTGCTAAAATAAAGTATATAAACACAAGCAATCTGGGCAAGCCCTAAATTTATCTTTCTTTAAAGCTTACAAAGGACAGGGTTTAAGTTCATTAATTTACTCAACTCCAGTGCTTTATTCTTATTACAGTACTAAAGATTTACTTTAGATGTTAAGAACATGGGGAAATCTGAACTATTTTAGGTAAAACACCCCCCATGTCAAGTGTGTATTTAATGGCAGCCATACACAAAATACCGAGGTGTACAGTAACAGCATACCTGTCTATGCTGCAAATAAACCAGCACACATCCTCAAGCCTTGAGACCGAGGTGGCAGCTAGGTTTCAAGTCACATGTCAGCTCCAACAGATTAAGTGGCTACCTCCAACATGAGTCTGGGGGACAATGTGGGCAACATGGGTGATAAATGCCTGCCATGGGCGTAAGAGGGTGGTAGCCTGTGTGCTACTCTGGCCTTCAGCTTTTTGCTGGAAAAGCCTGAAATACTTTTGTCTCTATTATGGACGGGGTATTTCATTGTTGCTTCATATCACATAATGCATCATAATGTGAAATGTAACAAAATATGCAAAATCAAGTGAAAAGTTTTGTGAGATTTTTTTGCCCATGTCTGACAAAACAAACAATAAATCTAATACTAGTTTTCTAGAAAACACTATCTAATGAACAGCTTCAGTTAAAATAACTAGGGCTGCCCTGGCTGGTGTGGCTCAGTGGTTAGAGTTGACCCGCACACCAAAGGGTCTCGGGTTCCATTCCCAGTCAAAGGCATGTACCTGGGTGGCGGGGTCGCTCCCCGCCCTGGCCTGGGTGCATGCAGGAGGCAGCCAGTCAATGTGCCTCTCTCACTGTTCCTCTCCCCCT